ATATCTTAGTTATTGCTGCCCTATTTCACCTCATTTTGCTTTGAGTGCTTCAATTTCGACTAGTAAAGACATTTTTGTGCTGTCTTCTTCTCCTGTAGGGACCAGGACCTGGAGCCTGGAGCTCCGTCCATGGGAGCCAAGAGCCTCTGTATCCCCTTCTCCCCCCTGAAGACGCTGCAGCCTGGTCAGATGTGTGTCTGCAGCAAGGAGCCTGCCCAGTACTACACTCTGTTTGGACGCAGCTACTAAAGACCTGCTCTGCTGAAGCACGAGGATGAACATCGTAGTCAAAAAGGGCTTCCCTACCCTTTCTCATCTAGTTCTTTACTGATCTCATGTAGTTGTCTTGGGTAAAAGTATAGAGGTGACTGGACTGTGGGATTTAGACTGGGAATATGCTGTTTTTGTTTTGTTTTGTTTTTTAACATACATTAACCTTATTATAACGCATCTGTTTACTCTTCCGTTACTCTCTCACTATTCCGTTATGAGTAAATGTAGCCCTGTTTCCCTCCTACATGGCTGCTAACTCTCTATAGGCCACATCAAAAGAACACTCACTGTCCAGCATTGCTTTGTATTAGGGATGGAAGTACCACCAGAAACCAGGCTAATAAATGTCTTTTCAAAACATGGTAGGTAAAATGGTCAAAGCAGCTGGTCGATTGTGGAAACCACTCCTGAATAATTTTTTTTCCCTTAAGTTTCTCTCAACATTCTGATTTGAATGGGTTTGGGCCTTTTGAAAACTTGAAAAACAAGTATTGATAAAAAATAAAAATAAATGTCTGTGGGGGAGGGGAAGTACTCTTTGCCTGCCAGCAGTCCAATCTCTTGCAGCCAAACTGTCTCAGGAACTCTGCAGGTACTCAGGCTTGTAGTTGGGGTGTTATTGTCAGCCCTCCTCTCTCTGTACGACTGGGTACAGTATGAGGCTCATGGTTCACAGCTTAATATAAATTCCTCATATCTTCCAGAGCCAAAATGACAAAAGCTTTGATGAGCTGTGTGTCGTTAATAGCCTGTAATATAGCCTTCTGCCACTTCGCGCCCAATTAAAGAACTCTACAAGTTGTCTATAATAAAGTAATTTCCATGGCCAACTGTCTTGTGTGGTTTTTCATCCTAAATAAAGATGGGTGTAGATGTGGAATGAGTTGGTCATTGATTATTAGTGTTAGTATTAGTATTATTAGCATTAGTATTAGTGGTGGTGTTGTATTGGAATTCATTAGATTGTGCAGGTGTACCAAACTGGTCAACATTGTACATATATGTGGTGGAATTAGCATGCATATTGTACAGCAAGCTTCCTCAGTTACATAATGCTGAGCCTTGTCTACCCAAAAGATAAAAAAGTGGCACATCCTGTCTTTTCAAAATAAAATTGTTGGCATGTGTGACTGTCAGTTGAGAGCCACAGTGAAGTGCAAACAAAATGCTTGACCTGGTTAGAGCCAAAGCACTAACAGGACGAGGATGGAGGCATTGTCTTAGCACATGTGTAGCCTCTTAGACAATATTCACAGTTGTCAAGATCATTTTGAAAATGTATTTTTCTTATGTGTTCTCATAAGCAAGCACCTCTGAAAACAGCTTTTTGAAAATAAGAGGAAGCAGGGGAAATGTTGCATGACCAGTGTTGTTGGTCCCTGCATGCCCAAGAAGATCCTAACGCTTATATATAAACACCAGTACTAAAGTACAAAATTATGAATATTGCAGAAAAGAAAATCATATTAAACCAGTTTATTTGGAGTATAAACATTCCCTGCATATAAAGAAATAAGCATGCATGTTAGCTAATTTAAACTGAATTATAGCCTACAAATTATACTAAATTATAACTAAATTATATACATTTAAATATATTGAAATATACTAATTATACTGAACTATACAAAATAATTCTATACTAAACGATTGTGGTGTCCCCATAAGCAATATAACAGTAAACAGAAAATACCAAAACAGTAACCATAGTAAGCAAGCAAGTAAGCAAACTTGTCCAAATAAGAGTAACTATTGAAAGCACTTAGTTGCAAAAGGATGTCATTATTTACCGGCTTTGTTTAACGTTTGTTATGGTCCATATAAACCCACACAAAAACAGAAAACGATCATGAAGGCCCACCAGTTACTGAATGTTGAGCACCTCTCTTTTATTTTGAAAGCTGGTACCGGAAGTGGTTGTGTTACGAGTCCCACTGCTGTCAGTCCACCCGGCCGAGCTGCGGTCCAGCGTTGTGCAGTTTGTTAGCAAACATGAGCGACAAAGGTCTGTCGGACGAGGCAGCAATAGCAGCTTGTAAAGATGGAGACCCGGTTACTAGGGTAAGATAACTGTTGTTCTTGTTGAAGTTGGACTATCCCGCTACCAGACTTTGTCAAACCAACCCAACAGGCCGACGACTCCCAGACAGGGTAACCAGCTATGCGTCCATTACCGGACACGTTTCTCCACTAAATGTGCATTAGTCACCCGAAGACTGTGATTCGGTTGTGTTAAACATGGTTAACAATGCTAGTGGCTGCTCGACAGACACACCTCATGTAATAAATGGGTGCTGGTTTTATTACAGGTTATTGCGAGCTAGCTACAGCTGAACTTTCTCGTGTGGAAAAGAAACTCATTTCCAAACTTGACGGAGGAGCTGAGACTAAATGTATCAAAGCAAGAGTAACACCAGTCTGTTCGCAACGCAACAAATGTCCGTACTAATGAGAAAGCTGGTGTTTAGGCGCGGTCAGACCCGAATATACTCTGCTGCGGCGTAAAGCAGGCGGGACTGGAAAGGGCTAATGTGGGCAGTGGTCCAAACAAATGCTGCTGGAGCTAACTTCAGCTGCCTAATGAAACCTTTACCCTTTTAAACACACATTTACTGCACTCACTCTGTGAAACTGTGCTGACAGTCATCATCCCGCCTGCTGTGCCTGTATTATTTGGTTTTACACAGACAGTATATACACTGTAATGCATAGACTGGAATATAAACAATTGATAGGTACTTGATGAAGGACGGGTCCATATATATCATATCTTATCTATAGACACCAGAGAGTCCATCTACTCTGAAGGCCTTTGTTCAAAATGGTAGAACTTTGTACTTTTTGCTCCGGCTTTCAATAAATTGTGAGCTCTGGCAGTTCCAACAGACTCACATATCAAAGTTCACATGTTATAATTTGACTGAGTAATAAAACCCACTTCATACCACTGGATGAACTCATGTATGTAAACATATGGCTAAATGCACTGCTTCTCTGTCATCCCATCATCCCTCTTGGACGCTCTTTGGAAGCTCTGCCAGAAGTAATACCTAATCCCAAAACTGTGACTGGAACATAAGGAGTACTGGAGAGACTTTCTATGGATGCGTGATATACACTGTGAAGAGCTGACATGGTTGGAGGAAGGGCACAGGAAAAGGGGAACACTCACTGCCAGAGAGATAACACCAGACTGTTAAAACACACATAGACTAGATGTCACTAATAACTACAGAGTATCTGGATCAGGGTGAACAAAACAGAGGCCTGTTTAACCACATTTGCATGCAAGCTGCAAATGTATGTAAGATAGCATCAGTTTTGACATAGTTCACAAATGGAAACGCACACCATACGTTTGAACCACGCACGGACAGTAGTAGCACATCTGACATCATCGGACTTCAGCACTGACATGGCATGTGTGTTTGCATAGGAAGTAATTCTTCTCCAAGCAGACCTGATCTGCTCAGTATGGTAATATTGCATATCTCACACAGATGTGGTCAGAGCTTGAAAGTAAGGATGTCCTGTTGTCTCAGCACCTGGGACACAAAGGTACAGTGTCTGGGACAGTAGAGCGATACATCATTTCAAATGAACTTATGTTTATGTGTGATGGAATATGTATCATTTCAATCGTTAGGTGTTCAAATTCGAGGAATGTGATGTGGCACCGGCACGAGCTGTACGTCACACGCACGCTTACACAAGATCTGTGGTTGCCATGGCAAAGCATAGTTTAGCAACTTGTCAGAACTCAGCAACGTTATTTCTCAAAAGTGAAAAGTGGCAACTCATTCTCTCCAGATCTTTGGATTATTCCATAGCTTTTCTTTTTTCTTTTACACTGTAGTGCGTTTGTCATTGTTAGGCGTATGTAGATCTCCATGTATCCGTCAGAAACTAGTTTGCAGTGATGCATTTCACAGAAACTCAACCAAACACTTTTTGTTCAGATGTCAGTGCAGGGAACAACTAGCAGGACATCCACCAGAGTGAGTCAGTGAAGTTCTGAAGCTATATTTAGGGTGTAGAATGAATAAAAAAGAACTTTGGTGCTGTGGTTGAAAGTCTGGGACAGCTGCGGGAAACTGAGGAGAGAAGCTCCTTTTGATGTGGTGGTCATCGAGTTATGTGCTTGGTTGCACAGAGGTGCAGTTTGGCTGAAATCCCTTTTCACGAGTGAGTGCCAGGATACGCATTTCCCTCTGCTGGATGTCAGAATTCAGCCAGAGGATCCAAAGACAGACCTTGTGCCCTGCTTTCTAAAACAAGAACCGTGCACTGCTTCATATTGATCCATTTGACCTTAAAAAAAACAAAAAGCCTTTTGATGTGTTCAAGTACAACATACTGGACATTTTAAATTTCTTGTCCTACATTTTCAGTAGAAGATACCTCACCATCCAGTGATCTTTGTGCTTTCTTGATAGTGTTGCTGACCACTGGAGTGTTACGTGCATATAAAGCTGTGTTGTTGTGTTTGTGTGTCTTAGGATTTTGTGATGCAGCAGACTATGCTGCGGGTTAAAGATCCAGTTAAATCCTTGGATTTCTACACCAGAATCCTCGGCATGACGTGAGTATTAGTGTGAGCTTCACTTCAATGACCTCTAAGTGTGTGTGTGTGTGTGTGTGTGTGTGTGTGTGTGTGTGTGGGTTGAGACCGTTTTCTGTACATGAACTGGATTTGGTGGCTGAAGTGGCGTTTTCTCTCTGGTGTGCAAAATCTTCCAGGCTCCTGCAAAAGTTTGACTTCCCCTCCATGCGTTTCTCTCTCTTCTTCTTGGGCTACGAGGACAAGAAGGAGATTCCTACAGATGTAAAGGAGAGGACGGCCTGGACCTTTTCCAGAAAAGCCACCATTGAGCTGACACAGTAAGGGTCTATGTCCTTAAATTCGTTTGGTCCCTTGAGAAACAAAAATAGTTATGTCAGTTCTAACCGACATCCACTGATATAACTGACAACCACTGATATAAATAATCATATGAAACTAGGGCTGGCGGTGCGAATGCATGTAGAGGATACACTGCAGTTCTCATCAGTTTTACAGTTTTTGATTGAGGAAGCTGCCGCGGGAAAATGTGATTACTGGTATATCTGATATCTCTGTAAATTGTGCCTCTCGCTCCCTCCTCTTTCTTGTTGTATCCCTCCTCCCGTCCCTCCTGTCTGACAGTAACTGGGGCTCCGAGTCTGATGAAAGCCAGTCTTATCACAATGGAAACTCAGATCCACGTGGCTTTGGTAAGATTGCTTCCTTGTAATACAGACGAGCCAAGAAAGAGCAATAGAATGACATTTTTTTTTTGTGTCATGGAAAATGAGATTTAGTTCCAAGACGTTGGTTTTGTCTTCTTCTTCCTGTGTGAAGGCATATAATATATGATTGAATGGACTTGAAATACAGGAGCACACAGTAATATTATTAAACATACACTTGATTTAACAGTAACATTTAGTTGTCTTGATCTGTCAGCTTTAAAAATGAATCCTAAGAACCAATTCATCTATCATTTATTACTTTTTAACACAGAGTTCATACAGTCATGCTTTTTTTAGATATACTTGTCTGTTACTGCTTGAAGATAATACGTGTGTGTGTGTGTGTGTGTGTGTGTGTATGTGTATAACTAGGGATTTATAGTCAACAGCAGGGCTTGAAGTTTTTGTTTCCCCCTCAGTCCCAAATTTTACGTTCAACTGTCCCAACACTGCTCTCTCTGTATGACTTATGTGTGCATGTATGATTTAGCATTGACCTTGTGCCGGTGCCACCTCACATTTTTTAAATTTTAACATTTAAAGGATTAAAATTCCATGATGCATAAATTTAATAATTTCATTTGTAATGATACATTTCTCTTCTGTCCCTAAATTGTCCCGGACACTGTATCCGTGTGCCCCAGGTTCTATGTTTTTCGTCCCTGGGATAACGAGACATCGTTACTTTTTGAGCTCTGGTCAACCGTCTGTTTGTCTACCTCACATTTGACAGGACACATTGGAATTGCAGTTCCCGACGTCTATGCAGCCTGCAAATTGTTTGAAGAGCAAGGAGTCACATTTGTCAAGAAACCAGATGATGGTAAGATGTGATGTATTTGTGAATATGAGGGTCATAGATGGGTTAAATAGCTCTGACCTGACAGCGTTTTTAGTACAATTGAAATTAGGGCTGAAACTATTCATTCACCCTTGATTCAAATTCTCTTTCACATTTTTCAAAAGCTGATAATTTGTATTGTCACTGTTAATTTAAAATGGAAAAAAGGAAACGGGGAGTGAGCACTCAGATATAGAGGTGAAAATTGTCTTTCTCTCAGGTAATACTATAGTTGTGACCCCCCAATATAGAACATTTTAGTACTGTGCACCTGTCAAGTGACAAAAGATAATTGTGTATCGCCCTAATGTACGGTATAATATTGCTATAGCTCCATGTACTGACTGATTACAGAACAGAAAGCACCTGCTCAGTGCTTGTATCTGCATTTGAATGATGATTACTGCACTATGTATATAGAACACACACTTTAAAGTTTTCAAAGTTTTCTGTTTATGTATGTTTATTCAGACAGTATTAACAGTTCATTTTGCACCCCCCTCCTTTCTGCTATTTTCTTCTTAGGTAAAATGAAAGGTTTGGCCTTCGTTCAGGACCCTGATGGCTACTGGATTGAGATCCTGAGTCCCAACAACATGGTGTCCATTACCTCCTAAAAAAAACTCTGACAACATGCTAACTGCTGCAGTGCATACAGGCAAGACCGACTGTCGCTTCACTGGGAGAGCAGAGTGTTGGGGTTTAGTGAAGAATTTAGCAACATGCGCCGGGAACCTGAGGGGAAAAGGAGCGGGATCACTTGCACAATGGCAATCAGTGTGCCGTGCTATGGGCTGGACAGTTGATGAGCAAATCATTAGATACTGATTAGATACCTGAGTTATTGCTACAAAAAGCAACTACTTTGTGTAGCTGTTGAGTTTGTTTACCATCTGCAGTTTGTATGTCTTCAAAAAGTGATGCTGAAATAAAGTGTTGTTTGTGAAATAAATGTGAAAGACACCATTCAAATTAAATGGATTTGTGATTTCTTTTAGTTTTGAGAAACAATGCACTAATTGTGTTTTTGCCAAAACACTCAAGGCCAAGATATAACTGTGGCAGTATAGGTAATCACATTTACGATTACAGCAAGTGACAGTAAGGTGACCTGGTTCTTTGCCGCAAAAATGTCATATACAGTTTTTAACGTTTAAACAATTCTCACATTGTTGATTGCTGTGCACCTCTATCAGCACACCTGTTTCTGCTTTGTACTTGACATGTTGAAAAAGAAATGATCCTTGATTAGTTAAAAATCAGGACTGGGTAAAAATTAAAACTAATTTCAAAAGTAATGCTGAAAATATTTAGTCTTTGGAATTTGCACAATGATTTGTAATATGAAATCAATTTCATTTTAAATTTCAGAATGTTGAATTTTAATTTAAATAGACAAAATGTACCACAAGTTTTGAAGTCCTGCTAAATATGAGGGAAAATGTGAACAGAAACTCAATCACATTTCTGTGACTTTTGGATTATAGCGGAGGCTGGTGAGACCACTTTCTGATTTAGAAGGATATGGATTAATCACATTTTTCTGTATCTTAGATTATACTTTGGCTTCATTATTTGCAGATTACTTGTCTATTTATTGACCTGGCTGAAAGGCCTCTGTGGTATATTAATCAATCAGCACCTTCTGCCTTTGACATAGATGTTTGTGGTTTGAGCCCACACAGGAGCAATGGGACTTCTTTTCTGTGGCATTTAAGAGTAAAGTGCTTTGATAAAGTCACAGTTCATGGACTTGCTGAAAACACAAGGCTACAGCCTGTTTCTTTCACCTTGGCATTTAAAGGGAGTAGGGAGATTTAGGATGTTAACATTAGGTCCAATTATTGCTACTGTTGAGAGTCAAGTTATTGTATGTAAAGAGCTAACACACTTTACTTGAACAATTTTATCAAAAATTAACTGCTGCTTAAAGTGCCTGTCAGAACAAGTGATTCTGGGTTAAAGCCTGTTGCATTTCATAATAGCAGGAACACAACATACCTTTACGGTAACTTAAAGTCCAGTTTTGCAGCCACATGCAAAACGCAACACAGCCAAAATGTTACTGTGTACTACAGTGTGAACTGTAGTCCTGAATCCTCTTTTCATATTATCTCCACCATTTTTCCATGAATACTAGCACACTCTCTGGTCTCGCTCTGCACATCTGAATCCATTTGACAATTCAATTCAGTTCAATTTTATTTTATTTTATTTGTATAGAGCCAATTC